ACCCTTGCAATACTGTATTAGAACTGTTTTTTCACGCTTTTATCAGTATAAATATTTTAACATCCAAGTTGGAATACAATTAATTATTGTATATTATTATCTTTATCTTTTATAAAATTGGTTTGAAACCAACGTACAAGATATTTGTATTTTACCCATAGTTTTTTTTGATCATATTAACTGTTTCAACCTTTACTTGGTGTATTAGCAATAAAAGCTAGCAAAACACACTTAATGGCTTAATTATTTACGTCCTGATCTAATTATACTACTGTACTGTGAACTCATTTAGAATTATTTTTGCGGCTAAGAGGAAAGTGTTGGCCATTGACTACAAAACTAAGCTTTGCACTTTGATTTATTTATTGAAATTGGGAAAGTTTTGTCGTCTTGGATTTATTTCGTATGTTTTATCATCTTACGCTGATATGCAATTTTTATAATAAGCGCTGATTTATAGTTTATCCAAGCTTATCTTAACAAATCATTTTTAAAGGAAAACATTACTTATAACGTGCCAAATAATTTTAATTTTACTTCGTGTGTTTTAACGCCTTTGTAATTTACCTATTTTAAGCAAGGGAACAGTCAAGTCCATAATTTCCGTATCTATTGTTAACCTTTTGTTTGATAGCATCGTTAATTTATAACTAGAAGAAAAGTAAAATTTAGGCCTCGAACCTGATTAGCCTAGCACCCTTAATTCGAAGGTGATCACTATTACCACTCGCCTCATACAATTTAACTGATTAACCCATTAAAATGGCCGGATTAAACTAAATACACCCTTCCAAATCACAAAGGGATTTAATCCAACAAAGGTTTGTGAGTGAACATTATGGCCGCCTAACATTTGGCTGACAAAAACGGACGACCGGGATGGGGGAGTGAGGTAAATGAATTAAAAGAAAGCCGAAGGGGACGGTGGAATTGCAATGGGGATGCGACTGACGGATCCATCACTGAGGAACAGTAAAACTGAACCAGACTAGCCTCAATATCCAGGTTTACAGCCGCATGTTAATACTTCCTACTTCACGGTTATAACGTAAAACAAACGTGTGGTTGAGAAGTTTATTGCTTCGGGTAATACTTTGCGTTATAGCGTTCCCTTAAACAGCTGTAAAATATTAAAAGTGCACCGATAATATTCATTTTAACAACAACAAAGAAACTAACTTTGAGAAAAAAACTGATGTGAATAAAATTAATTTTTGAAAAGTCCGTAAAACATAATTAATTATCCTGTACAGTTGAATAGTCATATGGTTCGTCCCATTATGTCACCGGTTCGATCCTAAAGAATCTGTGATACTACCCGGCAACCCTATTTACTTGTGGGATATAATATTACTATCCGGACATTAGTATTGCTGCAGGGCAAACATAAAAAACAATATTTCAAAATAACAACATTAAATTTTGTAATGGGTAATTTTATCACTGCCTGAAATATGGATAATTTAGCAGGCTATTAAAAATTATTGAATTTCATTTTTATTTTAAGAATTTTTTCATCTTGAATTTGACAGTCATAAAAATTAGCCTGACCTGATACTGTACTTAGTTTTTTTTTATAGTTACGAAAAATATATATTTAAACTTTAACCTTTTTTAAACCAAATCATGTTCTTTTAGTCGTCAATGGGGACACTAAAATAGATTACGAGTGGAATGGCAGGTAAAATGAATAATTTGTATCAGTTTTCCTCGTCAAAAGTCAATTTTTTTACAAAGAACATTTCAACAAGGTCTTTCTTTGAGAAGGCATGCGATAGGAGGGTGTAGAGGTGGGGATGGGTGGTGGGGAGGAACGAAAGGGATATTTCTAGATCAATCACCTCGTTGCCATACAACTTAGCGTTCAGTATTGATACCTTTGTTGTTCTCTGTTCTCTTTTAAGGCTTGGAGCTCCGTAATTAAAAGCAAATTCAACTATTTACTTGAATGTATAGATGAAAACTTATAAATCGAATTGTTCAAAATATATACACATTGTTTAAAATTAGCATACTTGGCTTTATTATATCTCAACTCAGTAATTGCATTAATAGAATGGCCATCAAAACTACATTAAAAGATCAGGAGAAATTTACACAAAATTCTAAATGATAATTACATTGCATCCTCATAAATCTGAACCCTATCAATACGGGCTTGCTGAATCCAGGCGTATTTGAAACAAGTTTATAAACAGCCATACATATATTAGAAGTTTACCATTGTCCAAAACGAAAGTTTTAATGCGCATAATTTACACTGCATTATGGCTTATGTTTTTTTTTTTTTCAATTAAAATTACTCAGTTTTAGTATTTGAGCAGTCTTATACATCCCACCGTTCAATATAAGTGTAGTTTATGTGCAATGGCAACCATCCGAATTGTCTTTTTTTGTACAGTATTTCATACGTTGTAGATATTTCTTTGGAGAACTTATTTACATTTAATGTTTTTTTATAGGATGAATAGTTTTTGAGAAATCGGGAAAAAACTGGTTTTTGGATGCCATTTTCCAATATGGCGGCCATAGCACTTTTTCCGAGGACTTTTAGAATGTTATTTCGGAAAAATACAATATACGTACCGAGTTTTACACTTATAAGCGTTTTTTAGGTATTTTCTCAAATATTACTACACTAACTGGTTTTACCTCAAATGGCTGTTAAAAGATAATTCTAAGCGTTGCATTTTTATTTAACTTACTCAACTGGTAAATTGATAAAAAGGTAAATTTTAATTCTTTTTTATATGTAATAAACACATTTTCAGATTTTATAAGCTACCTTTAATTGGCAAAAATGCTGTTGATAACATATTTGAAAGAAATCCGTAAAGGGTAAACTAAATAAACCAAATAAACCAAAATAAAAATAAATAATAAAACGAATAAATAACGGAATAAATTCCGTGAACCAAATAAACTAAATAAATGATATTAATTTACATAATTCTAATTATTACCGATATTATGTAAATCTATCTGTTGTCTATCTTCGTTTCAAGGTGAAAAAGGTGTATATATAGATGATCATTATTCACCCATCCAACTGTTTTAAAACTAGCGTAGTGGTAATAGTAAAATTTTAATTAAAACAATTAAAACACCGTTAGAATTATTATTTCCGCGTAAAGTTTAATATAAATATATAACTTCAGGACTTTAGATCCAATTATAAATATTTTACCAGTGTAATTATTTTGACAGTACAGGCTTATTTTTAAAGCCAGCACGTGTTAGGTTTCATAACTAATTACACAACATTAATTACCTAATATCATTATAATTCACATTAATTGTTTTTACTGTTGTTTAATTTTAATTATAGAGTTCATTCTGTTTTATACATTTAACTGTGGCTCTTTATTTTATAAATATATCCCCGCCACAGCTAACCTGCTGACCAATAAGCGAATTTCCATTTTAACTGATTGGATTTCCACTTAAATATTCATTTAAACGTGTTAGATTTATTCCCTATTAAAATAACAATAGGACACCGCTAAATATATGTAATAAATTAACTTAACTATATTAAAATACATCCATAAACAAGCAAACTACTTCAGTTTACTTGCTTCTCCAAAAGAATAATGTATGAATTTTAAATTAACGATTTTTGGGATTTTCTCTGCAACAATCTATGCGTACAACAGCGCTTCAATGTAATTAATTGTTTGAATTTAAGTTCCGTAAAATTGTCCAGAAATAAATTACGTTATTTCGTGTTTTAAAGTAAAAAATGGGAACAACTAATTTGCACCCCATAAGTTACAACCCCCATAAAATGCCGTTTCCATATTCTGATCATGCTAGCTTGCTCGTGCTCGGCTAACTCGTATGAATAAACGTTTAGATGTTTGAACCTATTATATATATATAAAAAAAAAAAACTGATAAGTATATAAATATATATGAATTTGAACGGACAGTGTTTTTGAGGTATGGGGACATCAAAACAAAAATTAAATTGGTCCCGTGGGATACATCAGTCAAATAACATTTGATTCAATTAATAAGAAGATAAAATTTTTAATTCAGGCTATAACATAAAAAAATAAATAATAAAAATTAGTGGATGGATATTATTATATAAATTGAGTTGAAAGCATGCAATGCAAGAGCATATATACCAATAAGATAACTTAAAGAGACTAAATAATAGTATACAGAAAAAAGTTGTAGTTTAGTCATAGTTAAGTAAATAGGCATCCTATTTATGTAAAATTGTAATATTCAAAGATTTATTTTTTGTCCAAATTTTATGGTGTTAATTTTATCGGTTTGCATTTAGATATGTATCTCAAATCCGAACACGGTAGCTAAGTGGCCTCGTCTTGGACTGATAAGACATTATTGTTTCGAGACCGCGTGTTCATACTATCTCTGATCACTTTAGTTATCACAGGCACTGTACACCGTAACATTACTTTATATCTCTTTGTCTTTAGGTCTCGGAGGTCTCTTGATATATCAGGAAAACTATAGATACGGACAATCGTGGGATTGTTATTTGGACTATAAATATTGGAAAACCCCTACTAAGGGTACCTAATACATTGTATCCTGTATGGTTAGATTTATTGAATTCTACATCCACATCCACAACGTTTTATAAATTGCATGCACGTAACTTTGAAAGAAGTTTCTTAAAATTTAATTTTTAATCATTGATGGTTTATACATAACAAAATCCTGACCACTTTTATATCACATGATCATGACCATTCGTACCTTCACATCTTCAGGACCTCCCATTGATCCTTCCCCTAGGACAAACAAACCGCAAGGAAAGCAAACAGTCCAAAAGTGGTTGGGGTTGTGTGTTGTCATTCAAAACATTTGCCTCCTAAGCAAACATGAGTAACAACTAAAACACGTCTCACGTCATGGCGTTGCGAGTCAAAGTCAACGGAAATAAAGAAATAATTGGCCTTTGATTAGCGTGAGGTGTGGGATAGACTTGGCAACGTCGCATCGCAGAGGTTCACAGAAGCGCCGCCAGAGCGATCCGAGCAGTCTCGTCGCCCAGTCGTCTCTAGTTGGTAAACCCGAGCGGTAGTGTGTCGCTGCCGAGTCTTTGACGAGTTGCAACTGCTTTTCTCTGGTTAGGCGGTGCCTTTCATCTCGACATTCGCACCTCGGTGGCAATCCAGTTATAAACGTCACAGCTGTTAACGAAATACATTCAGTAGTGATACGGAGGGGTTTGACATGACCTTTTGTCCGATTTGCGTTCAAGGTTTAATGTAAACAGTGAGTGCAGTGGTGTGTGTTTTTGGTTTTGAACTAAGCATACATGGATCGTAGGATTCTTGGAGCATGCTAGGATACATTTTGGATGATTTAAGAAGGTAAGATTATTACGTACTCACCGTATGTAATTGTGGGTGGCGTATTGTACATAACTTATAGGTATTGTTATGGTACATACCAGTACTTATTGATATATTTAATAATATGTGTCTTAGGTGAGAAGCGGCAAATATTTTTCTTTAAAATTAGACTGTCTCTGCACATAAAAAAAAATAAATAAAATATGTATAAATCTATCAATATTGAAAAAAAGGACCGCGCGAACGTCAAATAAAGGACGGCTTCAAATGTGTGTGTGCTTTCAAATGTCAATTGATAAAACATTGAAATAATATTAGTTTAAATGTATTTGAATTCATAAAAATAACACAGTATGTCCGTCTAGAAATATAAGCCCATACGTTAATGTAGACCTACTCTTACAAAATAATCGTGAAAGGGTCACTTTAGACCACTAAGTAAGTCCCTATGTCCAAAATAACGTTGCCCTAATAAAATTTATTTACATTTGTATTAAGAGCTACGAGATTATTTAGTTTTATGGACTGTAATCCAGTTTTATTCTTAATTAGCAATTCATCAATAGGGCCTATAATTGTTTGTCAGCTTATGACATGGTCTATGTTGACGGGGCTATATGTCGATGCCTAGCACATTATTATTTAGCCTACGTTTATTATTTTAAAGAACTAATATTTTTTCAACTATAACATTTACGTAATCGGCAATACTATTCTTAAGATATTTTATTGTTTAACTTATATATTTTTCCCCATATTAAACCAACACGATACCGTATCGTTAAATCTTCTGCTTAAAAAGGAGAATGTGAGGATATTCAGTTCAAGATAGTTTACATTTTTATGTTTGAATAGAACTTATAAGTTTGCATATAAATATTAACTTCAAATCATGTTTATTTGATCTACAGTAGGTACTACAGTATTGTACAGTTTACAATGTACCCAATTATTGGCAGTTTCCGTAAAAACCCGAGTCTTTCATATAGGAGGCCAAACAGTGATAAGTAATAGTAGGAAATGATAACAATTAAATACCACGCTGTACTATGACTATAAGTAGGAAACGTTTTCCTGACACGAGTTTTCCTACGTGTTTACAATATATTTTTTTACTGGGTGAATGCATCCAAATTTCATCTTTACCCCACATATTTTAATATGAATGACCCGTAGTTTATACAATTTAGGGCTTTTAAAAAACACTGGGGTTTCATCATCATAATTTTCATTCAGCAATTCCATGATTAGTAAGAAGCTTTCCATTTCATATACAGCAACTAAATCAATTAATCGTATGCCGATAATGAATATACATCTCCTGGTATTATTTTCCGCTAGATATAGTATGCGTCACATACTTTATTATTTACTTCGTAGAGTATTTTATACAACTCTCACAAAACATCTCTGAGCCTTAATCAAGTGTTTAAAAATAACTATTAGGTCTATGTAGGTTATTAATATTTGTATATTTGCATTAGGCAGCCATTTAAATTACCGCATACAGCCTGTTAATAATAACAATTTAACAATGAGAAGGAGTTTATTAGAGTGGGCCGAGTAGGGCCTATGCGCGTATATGCATATTAGAGTATGCCCAGTATAAAAAATATTAATACTGTGTCTCAGAGGCAATTATACAATATATCAGACAGAACACCTTGTATTGCGGTCGTAGGAATCCGCAATATAGCCTATATAATGTTTTCAGCTTATTGTACTTGAGCAAAGCGTAATAACAAGCACTGCCTCGAGAATATTCTTCATAGTTGATCAAACTTGTTTGCAGATAGATCTATAAACTGTAATTTACTAACATTCACGCCCTATACAATATCTACTATAAGTTCTTAGGTTTTCTGTAACTAGAGACACACAAAAATATGACATCTTAAAATTGTTTCTAACCGAAAATTTGATAGGTTAATACATCTGCAAGGTACAATCATAACTTACAAGTTACATGTCGTCTTCAAATACATACATTTCTGTCGTGATGGACACAAGCTACAACCAGGAATGACGTAGAAAATTTACGACACATTATTTAAACCTCATTAAAATTCACAAGTTCCGAGACCTTCTCACCTCAGGCGTTTATTCAAGCTCACGCTTCCCGTGTCCCGAGGGGGAGTCCCCATTCAAAACGATTGTCTTTAGCACGCCAGGTAGAGTGTGCATTGCCCGGCCCGGCCTTCTACAAGTTTACAGTGCTGTAAAGTTGTGAAACACACCTGGCGTTTCTCAGCGTAGGTTGGTGTACCTGGTTCTCCCACTGATCACACTGCCCAGCTAGCCTTGAACTGACGAGATAGGAACAAATAGACGTGCTTTCAAGTAAAGGTAAATTCAACAGGAAATGTTAATTGTGTGTTTTGTAATATTTTTGATTGTAAAACAAAGTTTTTGACAAACATAATAGGAGGGAGATGTTTAGTATTCGCGTACAACGTAAACACTCAACAGTCATCTAAACAATCAACTGGACTGTACTGGACTCGTTGTATATGAACTCGTACTCAACTAAACACTTTAGTCGTTCTGAGCCGACAGGTAAACGCACTGTTATCATAAACGACTTAAATACTTTGTTTCTTGTAAGTTATTTTATGCCCTCCATTGTAGTATTATAAAGAATTAGAGGAACAACATTTTAGGACGTATCCTACTGTGAGGGGATCTTTTAATTTATGTTCTCTTTGAGTGAATAAGTGGCTTGAGCTAACCCGTATTCATGTTGTATCTACTTCATTTTACAAAGTCAATGGCATAAATGGTTTATGAGAGCCAAAGTGATATTTTCCTTCATCGCAAAGCACATTAAACATAGGATCATAAACTATTTTGATTGTCCTATTACGGTAGGTACCTTAGAAAATGGAAAAATAATGATAATAAAGGTTAATGAATGCTAAATTACTAGTTGATATTCTTTTGATTTACAACGAAAACGACTTTGTAGCATCTATCCAGTTAACTTTCTTCTAACAAAGTTGACCATTATTTATCTTCTGTACCATACAAAAACAACGCCTAAAGCAGAACAATGTTGTGCAATGCAAAAGCCTTAAAGTTTAAATACCATGTCGTGTGTGTAAGAGGTCTAGCGGGTGTTTTAAACTTTAAAGTGCCTCTGCCTACCCAGGTAATCAACTTGCAACTAAACTGCAGCTAACTTCAGTGGACTCTATTACAGACCAGGCGCTTATGATGCAAATGCATTCTGAATGAATTGGCATTTTAAACATGGTTTATTCCGTCAAGTGTTCTTTCCTTCTCGAATTAACTAACTGAGAACTGTTTCATAGATTTTAGTTGATTATTTCAACTGCGTCCTAGACTATTGTTCATAATGGAATAATGCCGTTAAAATGCACACAATAAAGTAGAAGTTTGAATTCTTGTGTTTGCAAACATATTTTAACACCGCTGTAGCTTACTAGAATATTTTATCCATAACCAATACAACTTTAGGTGGATTATGTATGGGTGTCTGTTGTTCGGTGTGGTCGCAAACACTAGTTACTTACTAATACTTGTGACTCCGGTGCTGTTTCTTAGCCTATGTAGATTATAAACCTGGCTAGCTCACATTCATCTCCTAAAATCATCTCGAGCTAAGCCCAGTTAACCCTGATGCTAAAATTACACGTTGATTAATCTCTTGAAAAACGACCACAATGTTTTCTTTATTTACATTATTACTTTCTCTGTTTTTTTATTTTTTTTTATATCAACAGAAATTAACATTGATCAGAAGCGATGTTCAACGAATACTATTCTAAACTGTTTAGAATAAGTTACTGCTAATGCATTTTGCTTTGTCATTTAACCAAGCAGCAAAGTAAGCTAATTTAAAAACTAATAATTCAAGTTTTGTCGAAATATAATACGTGTATATATTTTTATGATAGAGTTTCAAACACATTTATTTTATACCCTTAAATAACAGTTGTTTTATTCGGTTGTTTTATTAACGATTTACCAATGTCATGTTACCTTATTATCAAAATGTATTTAACAATTCAAGCTGTTATTATAGGCTACTAAGGCAATTAATATTGGGTTTACTTAACTGATATTCAATAGCCTAACTATTAAAAAATTGTCACTTTTATCCCAGAAACTACTTGGAAAATCAGAGTAACAAAGTATTTCCCTAGAAATGTTTCAGCTTTACCTCATAATCGCAACGTTTAAGCTAACTAGATCCTCTTGACACAATTCTCTCAGACGGCGTACAAGGAAAGAAACAGTTTTCCTGTTTTCTTTGTTGGGAACGTGCTATCCATGGGGTTGCGCTTTTTACTTGCTTTGATGGGTAAAAGGTTATTAATATTAGTTTATATTCGTATAGTTTAAATATTTATCTCTTGGTTGAATGCATGTAAACTTTATCTGTTGTATAAATGCTTCGTTTGATTAACATTTGCGTATGTCTGTAAAAGTAGTTTATCGTCATTTGTGTATACAAAGTTTATTGATAACAATAATTCTCTTCCTATGCAAACAAATAATTTTCTTCAAACAACAATCACTTTGTTATTGTTTTATTGTTATTATTAGATTTTTTCTGGCCAATACAAGTAAACAGTGTGTTTTTAAGCTTATGAAAATTTGTACACGATAGTCACTAAACTCAGTAATATATTTCAATTACATAAAATGCTATGTATACAAATTATTTATCCTCTAATAGCTAAATAATCTCTCACTTCTCAAAGCTCAAATCTACTATGAAATAAAATGAATGAGTAACATATTTAGTTGAGATCAGAGAACTCAACCTTTGATGAGGGCCACATCATACAACACATTTAACAAAAAGATTAGGCCTACAGGTTAACTGCGTAAATATCACGCAGACCAAATAACATATAGTTTATGATATTTTTTAGGTTTCCACAGTTAAGAGCGTAGAATATAGATTTTAATAAATTTTTGACTACAGTAATAAAGTGTAACATTTATTGCTAGTATCGTGGTTTCCGTTATCGGATAGTGCAAATAGAGGG